CTGGCCCTGCTCAGGGGCTAGATGCTCGCAGTGGGGATGAGAATCAGGCGTTTGAACTCAACCATCAGGGTGTCGCGGCTGCCACCACGCCTGCTCAGGGGCTAGATGCTCATTTGAACTCAGCCATCAGGGTGTCGCGGCTGCCACCACGGCCTGCAGGCTCCGGTGCATCCCTGCGTGGGAGCACGTGTCACTGGTAGTGCCTCTTTGGGCACTGAACGTATTTTCATAGATTGCTAAAATACAGTAGCAAAAAGTCCCCACCACACTTTAAAAAAAAAAAAAAATCAAGGTATCTCAGTTATAGAGATGAATTAACTACACTTTAAAGATAATCCTATCTGAAAGGAACCCAGTGTAATATCCAATACGATTAAGTGAGAGCAGGCCGTGTGTGATAAAATTTGTTCCAACTTTTAGCTACTATATAGGGATAGGTCATCAGCTGATGAGGGCAAATTGTCTAGATCAGAGAGCAACTCTGTTTCAAAGATTATAGAACCTAAGTATTTCTTGACATTGCAACTGTTCATGACTTAAACTGAAAACAAAATGACCACTGTAAGTTTTACACTTTTATTAACAAAAAAGAACCCATAGGGCTCATATATTAGTACAAAATACAATCATGTTCCTGTATGTTAAAGTTTTCAACAGCATTTTTTTTGTCTCTTTTAAACTGTTTCACAGTTAAGTTATTAAAACAAACCCCCTGCATATTGAACTTATTGTGCAAACAGTAAGTAAGTATTTTAAGGACCGATTTCTGCACTAAGCCCAGTGTCAGAGAACAGAATTTGACCCTATTTTCACCCTTCCTTTGAAGGGTCCATATGTGCTTCCTAAGAAACACCTTCTAGATGTTTGGGTTGTTTTTTTTTTTGCAGCAAACAATCTAAGGCCACAGTTTATCTGCAAAAAAATAAAAAACAACCAAAAGATTTAAAAAAAAACAAAGCAAAACATCTCTTTACTCTTCATGCTCTGTTGCTTGACCAATGTTTATACCAATCAGCTAGTCAGGTAGCACACATAACCTATCAGGTATTACAGTCAAAAATAAGCACCTAGTGTTCTTTAAGCTAGTATCTTGAATTATTAACATGCAAGTTAATATGTTGCCACACTATTTTTCAAGTAACTATAATGATATCTGTTTAAGGAAAACATTTGTTCCCTTTCAGGGTGATGTAAATGGAAATCCTGCATTGATTGTATGAGCACGCAATGATTTAAGGAAAAGGCATGAGAGCTACATCTTGAGACTTAAGACAACATTTACTTTTAGAAGGTCCTAATACGTGCACTCAAATTTTGGTCGAAGCTGCATTTGCTACAGCCAACTACTTAAAACTTGCAAATGAAAAAAAGTAACTGCAGTTTGGAAACGCTGCTCTCCATCCATCTTTTACACTAATGTAAAAGTGAAGTGAGGTGATGTGCTAGAAATTAAACAACGCAAGGAAGTCATACTAGGAGAAGACTACAAATAGGTTATCCATATAGGCCTGTAGAAAAGTCCCTGCTTCTTTAATGAAGACAGATTTCATACAAAATCATTTAAACATGTTTAAACTGCAGTTACTGATGAAATGAAGGAAAGTCAATTACTAGTCTTGTAGTTTTCTCAGAAAGTACAATGTTCTACCACGTGAAGCACCGGATTTTAAACTCCAACCCCTCTTTAAGACACATGGAATAGTTCTAGCAGTTCAAAATTCCCTGTAATTTCAAGACTTGTCTGTAAACTTGCACATTGAGAATGCTGTATTTCTGCTCCTTCGGGTGTTGATGGCATTGCCACCGGGTGGATTACTCAGACCGACTGATGCTTGGCAGGAAGCAAACATTCTACTTTAAATGAAGGCTACAAAGGGCCAAGTAAAATGCTGTGCCTTCATTCTTAGCAGCAACAAACTCTCACTGTTCTAAATGACCTGAGGAAGAAAAACATTCAAATATTGCACCAAAACAAAATTAGACAGCAAAAAACAAACATGGAAACACACTAAAAATGAAAAAAAAAGAAATAGGATGGGTAGCAAATGACCAGTGCAGCCCCTGACAATACACCTATGAACAAAAATGCAGGAGTAATGAAAAGCATTGTGCCCTTTCCAGAGGATTTTGTTCCCCTGATGCCTGCTTTCTCTTCAGTTATAAGCTCTGTCTATTCTGGGTATATTTACACTTCTCCCTATGCCTCCTATTTCTCGTTCACTAACCACAGAAACCATTTCAGGTTCCTTTTGTTCCGAACCTTGAAGTATACTGGAGGTTTACAAGACTTTTTTTTTGGTCTCAGATCTGACCGTAAGTAAATATCCAAAACAGAGGTAGGCTTATAAAGGCTTCTGAATAAATAAATATTGTCCGTTTTGCTAAGTATACCTGCTGCTGGCAAAAGGTTTCTCCTTTGCCATGCTTCTGCTTATCATGCTATCCATAGGCTTAAGATGAAGAAAAAGAACTACATAGTAAAAGAGGCTAGAATAATTCCCTTAAGAGATCCCTTTAAAGAAAGCATAGTGCATAAGCTCTTATCAAAGTTCAATTTTCCTTTACATACTTGTGTCTTTCATTCATTACTGGTTGTCTTCATAATATTGTGTAATAGCTATTCTGTCATCCATGCCACCTTCAGATCGAGTATGAGTGATGAAATAGTACCACTTGGCAGGTGTTAGAAGGGCATGTTCTCATGAAATAAAAGGTTAAGCTGGAGTGAAATTTTAGTAGTGTTCTGTTCTTGGATGCAAACAGTGCAAAACTGAAGCCCCAGAAGCCTGGGGAATCTTTTGGAAATGTGTTCTTGCCCCCATTCTGTTCTACCACCCAAGTTCTCAGTATCAAGATCATTACTAAAATTCTTCTGGAGCGTTCCTTGTAACATGTAAGTTCTCTTCAGAACATCCACAATTCTCCTCCTTGTACTTTATACAGAATATCCACCTTTTAAAAGACCTTCAGTGTTTTCAGGTACTTTTCATGGTACCCCATTCATAGCTGCTCCCATGATATCCTCTGTGCAGACTAATCCAGCAGGTTCTTTTCCATCACCAAACATGCTCATACCTCCATCTCCGTTTTCCTTGACCTTTCTTGTATGCAAACTTAAGTTTGAAAAAGAAAACTGTTTCCTTTTTAGCTGCACTATCAGCTGAAGCAGCAGAAAGGTAAGACATTCATCACAATGATGCTCATTACAAATCCTCTTCAAAGCATGAATGAAACCGGCTGCGTTTCCTCTACATCAGTAGGATGTGGATCAATCTAAAGAGTGGGGGGAAAACAAACAAACAAAACTAATTACAATGATTCTTGCATTTCCAGTTTTTTTTTTAATTCCCCTCTATCTGACAATATAAAAAACTTGATAATTCAGCAGTGCTTTTCAAAAAACTTGTTTATTTTTTTACCTCTGAATAAAGAGGTGGAGGCTGGAACCGGAACTCTTGTATGTAAGCAAACACAGGACAACACAGTTGTTCCTCACAGTCGATTGGTGGTGGATAGGCAGGAACATGTCTGGAGAACTCTTCCTCAGACACTACATCAGCATAATTTGGTGGTGCTGAAACACAGGAAGTACTACTGTCAGATTTTAAAATATTCATTCCCAGATGGACAATATGTGGCTTTATGGTATCCCAGACCATTACGACCATATTTATTCAACACTGTAGGACAGTTTTGAATTAAGTACCCTATATCCATCAGTATTAGATGCAGAGCTATGTTTTTGTTTACTTAAGATGAGTCTACAGAGGCAGACTGCAGAAATGAGGTGCTGCTAGGGCTATTCCAGCAACAAGTCTGGGTTCTATTTAAGCTACATCCAATAATGATTAACTTTATGGTGCCTACCCCCAGGGCAGAATAAATCGAAAGCAGTCAGACAGGTAAGGAAAGCTGGAGTTTGGATTCTGAGTCAGATTTAGCTGCTTTGCTTCTCATGAGTCTAAACGGCATTTTTATTGATACAGTCCTTAAACTGGCATTACTATCCTCTTGTTATAGACAGTGCTAAGCTGTATTCTAAAAAGCTCAGGATGAATTACCTTCAGGGTGCTCTGGCATGGTCAATGCCAGCCAACTCATATCCATACTGAACTGGCTGGTAATGCTGGAGTTCCTGCTTGAAAATCCAATACATGGAATTGTGCCAATCACCAGAGGCATTTCAATCATCAGTTTCTTAGCACCAGGGATATGGATATATACCTATGTGACAAACCCCAAATAAAAAGAACCCATTAAGTGGTTGCATCTACAAGGTATGTATTTCCTATACTGCAGATGGCTTAAAAATCACTAAAATGTATTAAAAATTCTCATATGAGGCAAGTTTAGCTCATATTCTGAAAGCTTTCATTATTCCTCAGCTTTATATATTGCCTGTAGATGACTTAAGATAACGTGGTGACTAAAGTATTTGCACAGTTAACTTTCAGGCCTGCCTCTCCATTTATGAAGGGAATGACAACCCATTCAGCTTGAAATACTCTCCAATAACTTTTCCAGGTCTCCACCAAGCTTATTCTTTCTCAGAAGAGTTTTCTATTTTTGCCATTATTCCCATTTTTCAGTTTCAGAATCTGTTCTTCAGACTCCTAACTATACACAATATTTATTCTGAAACATTTCCTACTACAAAATCTCAGAGCTGCTCAGGAAAGAATACACTTTTGTTCCCAACTCAGCTTCATATTCAATGCGTGCACATGTTGAATGAAAATCTGGACTTACTGCTAATGAATATTCTACTCGAATAATACAGCAGTCAAGTATAGAAGGGGATACAGGTGGGATTTTCAGCGTTTTCCCATTCCAGGTGTCTGTACTCCCAGAGGCAATGTGGTTTCCTCGCACATTGGCAACCATCTGACGGAAGGTCTTTGTCTTCCCACTGGCCAAGTAAGTTTGTGTTTGGAAAATGGCAGCTTTGGGAACAATCAAACGAGAAGAGCAGTTCTCAATTTCTGCATAGATTGGTATGGCCTCCCCTAAAGGAAAAAAAAACTGACGGAAGGTCTTTGTCTTCCCACTGGCCAAGTAAGTTTGTGTTTGGAAAATGGCAGCTTTGGGAACAATCAAACGAGAAGAGCAGTTCTCAATTTCTGCATAGATTGGTATGGCCTCCCCTAAAGGAAAAAAAAAATAGAGAAAGTTCAATGAATGATTTGTGTTTCCCAACTTTCCTTTGGGAATATCAGAACATGTTACGGGGCACGTACATCATCTGCAATGTTATGAGAACAGTACTTGTTAAGTTTCCTCAAGCTAGTTTCTCTGCAAAGTAGTATCCAGGCAGAATTATAGCCACCTACTACATTTTAGTAAAAACAATGATTCATTTTAAAACATTAAGTGTAATAGGAATAAGCTTTAAAGCTCTGTTTTCAAATTATGCAGTCTTCCTTTTATGCAGTATTAACTGAATTTCAGAATGCTTCCTCAGTGTATCTAATGTTACCAAGATTGCAGAGGCAGCTACAGCTGTTACACAAATGTAAATCTATGCACAAAGTACATAAAAAAATATATCCCCCACTTAAATATTTTGTCCCATCTAAAGCATTTTTTCTTTTGTTCACTGAAAGGAACTTGGTCTTTCCATAAGAATATTAACAGGACTACCTTTCAGTTTATATTCCCAGCAGTGGAAGGGTGTGGGGGGATTGTTTTTCAAGTGAGATACACATCTCAATTATGCACTAAATAGAGCTATTCCTCCAACTGTTTTCCATCCATCAATTGATGGCTTTGCAGAGATCACAGAAAATCCTATTAGAGATCTAATATTCACATTTTTGAAGGGTGAAGATAACTACTCTTACCATTACAGTATCCCTTCCTCTCAATTTTGGCACTCAGAGACACTGGCCCAGAGGTGAAAAACCAACAGCCAACCATCTTCTCCTGACTTCTTAGAACAGGTGTCTATAAAAGAATATTTTTTTGTTTTATGGCATGAAGCTACCGATCACTTGCATCTTAATGTTATGTGTATTTGGCATTGAAATCTAGCCCTAAAATCCACTTGGATCTAAACCACTGTATTATTCACTGCAGCTGGGGTTTTGCTATGGTGTGAAGTGGAACCACAGTTTGGCCAATTGAAAACATTGCATGATTTAAAAACCTACTGTGTGCTTAAAATGTGTCAAGTGTCTACGAGAGCTATGTCCAACCGTCTGCAAAAGGGTTTATGAGTGTAACTTTCTAAAAAGCCTAGGAGAACATACACCCTCCACTGAACTGCAGTATTTATTATCCACCTTCTTCCCTGGAGGAGAAGGCAGAATTAAGTTATTCTGCAAGCAAGTAATAGATAAGCAAGCTATTTTTACCTTTGATATCCATCATAAAAATGCTAAGTGTGTACCATGTGGGCTAAACTGATTCATCTTCAGACCTTGCAAACTGCACATGACCAATGTTTACTCTCATGTGATGAAAACCTTAATTATTCATGAAGGCCCTTCACATTAGATGATATTTACACTGTAAGATTTTCGTTAGACTTAGCTTGCAACACATAAGCACACAGGTCCAGGGTGCAAAATCCAACTTCACTAAAACTCCAAACCACGATGCAGGCTACTTAAAATGATTCACTGAGCACTGCTGCAGACCTGCAGAGATTTGCAGCAGTCAGGGTAGCTAAAGTCTGAAATTCGTGCCATTTTGTGCTGTTTTGGAGGAAGCCTGGTAATCCATTACGACAGGCACTGCCACTCTATTTGCACATAGCCCCTTCCTAGTATTATCTACTCAGTATTATCCTTGCAGCAACTGGATACACTGTCTTCACATTCCTAACACACCATGTTGAATATAAGCACTGTATTCTGGTTACATGTATCACTGCCAATTTACTTAAGTTCTGCTCTAGAAAGACAAAATAAAATACATGCATGTAAGGGGAAAAAAAGGAAGTGCTTAAAACATCTCTTAGCTATATTCACATTATGATGAAAAGTTAAAATTATCCTAGCATTTCAAATAAAACAGAAATTACCCATTCATATTTAAATGAATAACCATTTAGATCCAGTTGCTATCATGAAAGTGCAAGGTATAATTTTATATTATTTTCATAATATGGGTTGAGATAAAAGAATCCAGCTCATTAGCTTCCATCTTGCCTATTTTCTCATTACTTAATGCCTGATCTTTCTTATTACTCTACAGTATTTCTAGTGATTATTAGAAGCTCAATGCTTAAATGTGGCCAAATCTGTCATAAGGAAATAACTGAAAAGATGTGTGAGGCAGCTGCATGCATGCACTTAATGTTAGAAAACGACATGCAGAATAGAAGGATACATAACATAATGGCCAGCATATAAATGACAGGCTGGGCATGATTAATACTCTTCTGTAATTACCACTCCTCAACCTACTATTATTGAAGAGTTTAGGACACTGCAGCCCTGTGAATGTAGTTGCTCTGGTAAGAGTAACTACTCTACTCTCGTGCATTATTATTGTTAAGCCTTATTAATGCATTTTAAGCCTGCATAACTTTTTGGCAAGAGCATCTCTGCCAGCAGGGATGTAATCAATGGTATTAAAAAAAGCCACTCTGTTTGCTATTCACACAACCTAAGATCATCTATTTATAGAGAAAAGCTTAGGGAGCTTATATGCTTTCAGAAGTCAGAAAATGACACTCCAGAATAACAGGGAAATGGTTACGAATGGATGTGAATTCTTCTCGGAAATGCATTTTCTGCAGCTGTCTTTAAGGGGAGCAGGGGGGAAAAACCCTCTTACCAACAGCGCGGGCGAGTTGACATCGATATGGCTAATAACCTGCAGTTCTGTCTGCACGCTTTGATCGGGCGCCGCGGGCCTTTCCAGGATTGCTTTCACATAGTACTGAATGCTGCCATACTTCCCAGTAAAAGAGGTCACCAGAGGCCTGAAACAAGCAATCACAAAAGCACGCCTCTAAGCTTGCAGTTCAGGTCCAAACACGAACGCTTCCTGTGTATATAAGTGTTTACCAGTTTACACCTCCCATTTTTAGGGCCTTAGGGAAGCTGAAACAAGCCAGGCACGTCTATGGGGTGGTTGATAAAGACAAACGTATAAAGCTGACCAATCAGTTTGATAGTTAAATAAATAAATAAATAAAGTGAGTCAAATTACATTGCTTCATCTGGTTTTCAAAAACAAGTCATGCCCAATACACTCCCCTCGGGTTGCGTTATTTCACTTACTCTTGTGGGAGCTGAAAGCTGAAGGGAAATTCATGTTTTCCATCTAGAAGAATTAAGCTTTCTTCACCTGTAGCACAAAAACACATAGTATGTTTTACTTATCCCACAAACAGAAGAACAAAGCCTCTGCTTTTTCAAATCATTTATAAGGAGGAAATTTCTTATTGATCCCAGTGGGGTCTGGATTGGAGCCCACACTTTATTTATTCTGTGGTGCAATTTCAATGAAGAAAAAAAAAAATCAAGGAAACAGGGAGATCTAAGTTTCAGTTCAGGATGGTGGCCAATTTCTACAGCAAGATGGCTTCTAGAGAGAGTAAAATGAATTTCTTCTTTGTTTTAACAGTGTAAGTCTACTTTTTTTTTAACAGAAATAATAAATAACAGACCATCTTCTGCACTGAAATGCTGCCGTACAAGGCCAGGTTGATAAAATACAGCGTTACGAGCAGCCTGGCTGAGCGTAACACACTCCCTGGGCCTGCGCTGCCAAGTCATGTTTCCAGGCCCAGATTTCCTTCTCTTTTTGCCCGTTTTTCTCCCCAAACCCGCGGACAATTCAGCGCGCGCGGGGAGAGGCCGTTTCCCCCCATCCCCGCGCGCTGCTCGGCGCCCGGCCCGGGGGATCCCCCGCGGCCGGGGCCTCCCCCGCTCCGCGCCCGCCGCCGCTCAC